GGGATGATGGTTGTGCCACTGACTTTAAATGGGGGTGAATTCATAAAGCTCCGAGAATACCCTAAACACCAACGGATGAAATTACCTATCTACTCATACGTAAGGATAGCGAAGTTTTACACACAGTCCCCGTGGGCACTCGGTAGATAGTGATGGAGCAGTTCAAATCCGAAATCAGAAATCCTGAGGTGTATTTAATGAAAGATGGAAAAATGCACTACCGCCTTGATATGATGAATAAATAACCTCTCCGAAAAGGACTCGAACCCTCACTCTTGCAGGCTGGTAACTGCAAGACGAACGCTGTGCCACTGGGATACGCGACCCACTAAAAGGAGTTAGCAACTAGGAGTTAAATAGCTTCCATAGACATTACCTATCTACTCAATAGCAAAGGGATAATTAGAGATGAAGCAACAGAACAAGAATGTTATATAAATCAGTAATGGAACCAGTAATCAAAACACACACTGAAGGAACAAGAGAGAGAGAGAGACAGAGAGAGAAAGGAAGAAAGAGAAGAGAGAGCGCGAGAGAGAAAAAGATAGATAGAGAGAGAGGTGGGAAGGGAGACAAATAGACAGAGATATAGATACAGAGACAGAAACAAACCCACGAGAAAGCCCAAGGCCGAGCCCCCTACCTTGACCTTATCCAGGACAGGGGCCGCGAAGAGAGAGAAAGGCAAGTGGGTCTTCAGCGTGCGCGGGTCGGGTGTCGCCTGCGCCATCTGGAGACACACTCCGTCTCGGGGGTTGGCATTCGGACACAGTTTCTTGAAGGTTTCGGACAAGGGCATACTGTTCTCTCCCGAGGGATCTTCTGGCGGACTGAACATGTCGCCTCTGGAAGTAGGGGGGGGGGGGCTGTGTCAGGCGTTGCTCCGTTGTGGCAGTGTTTCTTTCTCTCTCTTTCTCTGTCTTTCCCTTTCTCTCTGTTTATCTGTACTTCTTTATCTATCTGCCCTTACTCTCTCTCTATCTATCTATCTATCTCTGTCTATCTATCTATCTATCTCTGTCTATCTATCTATCTATCTCTATCTATCTATCTCTCATTCCCTCCTTCCCTCCCATCCCATCCCTCATCCCTCCCCATCCCTCCTTCCTCCCCTTTCCTCCCATTTCCTCCCATCCCTTCCATCCCATCCCTCCTTCCCCCCGTCCCTCCTCTCCACACCCCTCTCCTCTCCTCTCCCTTCCATCCTCCCTTTCCTCCCATTTCCTCCCATCCCTCCTATCCCATCCCTACTTCCTCCCCGTCCCTCCCATCCCATGCCATCCCCCCCCCCCGTCCCTCCTCTCCACATCCCTCCTCTCCCTACCATCCCATCCCCCCCATCTCTCTTTCCTCCCGTTTCCCTCCATCCCTCCCATTCCTCCTTCCTCCCAACCCCTCTTCTCTCCCTCCCCTCCCATCCCAACCCCTCTCCTCTTCCTCCCTCCCCTCCCCCTCTTCCCCCCCTCCCAACCCCTCTCCTCTCCCTCTCTCCCCTCTCCTCTCCCCCCCTCCCAACCCCTCTCCTCTCCCTCCCCCACCCCTCCAACCCCTCTCCTCTCCCTTCCACCCCCTCCAACCCTCTCCTCTCCCCCCCTCCCAACCCCTCTTCTCTCCCCCTCCCCCTTCTCCTCTCCCCCCTCCCCCTCCCAACCCTCTCTTCCCCCTCCCTCCCTCCCCCTCCCAACCCTCTCTCTCCCTCCCCCCCCCCCCAACCCCTCTCCTCTCCCTCCCCCCACCCCTCCCAACCCCTCTCCTCCCCCTCCCTCGGCCACAACCAAGAACTTACTCCATGAAAGGGACGCGGTCCATGATGGCCACGTCCGCCTCGGGGTTGTTCAGATCCGGGTTGTTCCTCATTGTCCACACGATCTCCTGCGTCCACGTCGTTCCACACTTGGGCCACGTCATCACCAACACGTCACCCTCGCGGAACTGTTGGAGGTGGAAGTGGTCGTGGTGTTGGTGTTGGGTGGTGATGGTGAGGAGGGGGGGATGGTAGTGAGGAGGAGGAGGAGGAGGAAGATAGAGTTAGTGATGATGAGGAGGAGGAGGTGGAGGATGGTGGTGATGATGAGGAGAAGGAGGAAGAAAAAGATAGAGTTGGTGATGAGGAGTAGGTGGAGGATGGTGAGGAGGAGGAGGAGGCGGAGGGATGGTGATAATAAGGAGGAGGTGGGGATGGTGGTGAGGAGGAGGAGGAGGAAGAAGAAGATAGAGTTGGTGATGAGGAGTAGGTGTAGGATGTTGATGATGACGATGAGGAGGAGGAGGAAGATAGAGGTGATGAGGAGGAGGTGGAGGATGGTGATGAGGAGGAGGATGGTGATGAGGAGGAGGAGGGAGATAGAGGTGATGAGGAGGAGGTGGAGGATGGTGATGAGGATGAGGAGGAAGATAGAGTTGGTGATGATGAGATGGTGGAGGAGGATAGTGGTGATGATGGTGATGATGATGATGAGGAGGAGGAGGAAGATAGAGTTGGTAATGATGAGGACGTGGA